AAAGGAAAAAGTTGAGAGAGCCTTCAAAGAAGATATGATTGCTTTTATAACTGAAACTAGGCATGATGCCAAGATTCTCTAATCCCATACTTTTATATTGTAATAATCACAGAGAAAGTGATAGCATAATTCTCATCTGACAGCCAAAAGCTCAGCAGAAGAAATAATTGGAAAAGATGTAACTACTAGTTACAACATACCTGATCACTTCACAAAACGAACCTTGCCTGTAAAATGCCATCAATCAAATTACATTCTTCTGTAATATCAGGATTCAACATGCATCGAGAAACACAAACTTTTGAGTTTCATATAAATGAGTCAAATTAATTCAATCCCCTTACAGCTCAAAACGTGCCAAAATAAGATGACAAACCAGGGTAGCTAACGTTAAGCAATGGATGTAAGAAACTAAAATAAAGGGGGAAGTTGATTTGACTAACAAAATATAAAATAATTGTAGTTGCATGCTAGTGGTGATAATCCTAGCTGACGTTCTATGCTAGTTAAGGAAACTTCATCTGTCTATGTTGCTGGCCCAAAGAGAAGAAACTTCATCGTAGTGAAGCTCACATGGCAAAGAAAAATCTACCCTATTCCAGAGGAAAGAACATTCCAGCATCATTGACAAAAAGTATTACAAGCACAAGCATTTTAGACACAGGAAAGAACCTTCCCATGGCAATGATGAAACTAATAAAAGCACAAGCTTTTAGCCAGGGGAAAGAACCTTATAGTAGTACCAGAATCTGCTACTCTATAAATGGATCCACAACAGATCAGAATTGAAGAAGAGCACAATTTTCATGTTAAGGAAGAAGGATTTAAGTAGGGAAGGGAACAAAACTAGTGCTTAAAAACACACTAATTAATGCAGCACAAACCTTTTCTCCATAAAACACCAGGTACCATTACAAAATTAACTTAGACTTGAAAAACTATAATAACTTCAAACTGCACCTCAAACTTCTAGTTAAGGAAAATACATTGCAAGACAATATACTTAGGGCTAATGAAAGTCAATATTTTGTTCTTCCATCACCCTCAATAATCACGTCTTTAAATGCCCCACCACTCGGGATCATAGGCAGCACATGCTCTTGATGGGGAACAATAACATCCAATAAGTAGGGCCCAGGTGTGTTCAGCATTTTCTGAACAGCTGCTTTGAGATTATCCTTCCTTGTCACCCGGGCAGCAGGTATTCCACATGCTTCTGCAAAAGTCAACATATTTGGGAATATTTCAGATTCCTTTGATGGGTCTCCAAGAAAAGTGTGAGCTCTATTTGCTTTGTAAAACCGATCTTCCCACTGAACAACCATTCCTAAATGTTGATTATTCAACAGCATTATTTTAATAGGAAGATTCTCCACACGGATAGTTGCCAACTCTTGGACATTCATGATAAAACTTCCATCACCATCAATGTCTACAACAAGAGCACCGGGATTTGCAACAGCAGCTCCAATGGCAGCAGGCAATCCAAAACCCATAGCCCCCAATCCCCCTGATGTCAGCCACTGACGAGGCCTCTTATACTTGTAGAATTGAGCCGCCCACATTTGATGCTGACCAACACCAGTACTTACAATTGCATTTCCACCAGTTAATTCATCTAGAACTTGAATTGCATACTGAGGAGGAATAGCTTCGCCAAAAGTCTTATAACTCAATGGATGTTTCACCTTCTCCTCATTTAGTTCTTGCCTCCAAGTTGAATAATCAAGTTTGACTTTATCTCCTTTGCTCTCCAATATCCCGTTCATACCTTTCAATGCCAACTTCATATCCGAGCAAACTGATACATGAGGCTGCTTATTCTTCCCAATCTCAGCTGGATCAATATCAATGTGAACAATCTTTGCTCGGCTAGCAAATGCCTCAAGTTTTCCTGTTACACGGTCATCAAATCGTACTCCAAAAGCAAGCAACAGATCACACTTATCCACAGCATAATTAGCATAAACAGTTCCATGCATCCCAAGCATTTGCAACGACAAATCATCTGCAGTAGGGAATGCCCCAAGACCCATCAAAGTACTAGCAACAGGTATCCCTGTAAGCTCCACAAACCTCCTCAACTCCTCACTAGAATTCAAACACCCGCCGCCAACATACAACACCGGCTTCTTGGACTCAGAAATCAACCTAACAATCTGCTCCAAATGTGCCTCCATTGGAGGCTTAGGCAACCTAGACATATATCCTGCCAATCTAATAGGCTGGTCCCATTTAGGGACAGCAAGTTGCTGTTGTATATCCTTTGGTACATCAATCAAGACAGGGCCAGGGCGCCCTGAGGTGGCTAAAAGGAAAGCCTCATTAACAATCCTAGGGATGTCATCCACATCAAGAACAAGATAATTGTGCTTGGTGATAGATCTCGTTACCTCAACAATTGGCGTCTCTTGGAAGGCATCCGTGCCGATCATTCTGCGAGGGACTTGGCCAGTGATCGCAACAAGAGGGACGCTGTCAAGGAGAGCATCAGCAAGGCCACTAACCAAATTGGTAGCACCAGGACCGGAGGTTGCGATGCAGACGCCAGGCATGCCAGAAGAACGTGCATAGCCCTCAGCAGCAAAGACACCGCCTTGCTCATGTCGAGGGAGAACGTTTCTGATTATATGAGACCGGGTGAGGGCCTGATGGATCTCCAGGGAGGCGCCGCCAGGGTAGGCAAAGACCGTGCTGACCCCCTGGCGCTCGAGAGCTTCCACAAGGATATCAGCTCCTTTTCGGGGCTCATCGGCAGCATAACGAGAGGTGAAATTTTGCGGCACCGTTTCAGTCGTTGTGGAAGTGGTGGTGGCGGTGATGGTGGTCGGTTTGGCTGCGGAATGAGGGAGTGAGTTAGAGATGTGAAGGGCGCGGCGGAGAGAGAGCCTCTGAAGGGTTAAGGAAAAGGGAAGAGAGGATTTGGAGCAGGTAAATGGGGATCTGGAGGAGGAAGGAAACGAAGAAGGATTGATGAATGTGGTCCTCGCACTGGTGGCGGCCGCCATTGTTGAGAGCTAAAGAGAGGAGGGCTGCGGAGGGTCGTGTGTGCAAATGATGACAATCGAGTCATTTTTAAATTGATTCGGGATATATTTACTTTGTTACCCTCGACAGTTCGTCTACGGTCTACTCCTTTAGGAATTGGAATCTGAGATCTGAATATCATCTGATAATAGATTCAGTGCGAAGTTAGGAACTTATGGTGCGTTTGTTGGTTGCATAAAACAAAGCTAGTTTTATAATTCTTGGTAAAATGGAAGAGGCGAGAGATAAATGATATAGAGATTCGGGGGCAAGTAGGGAACTTACGGTGCGTTTGAGTGGTTGCATAAAACAAAGCTAGTTTTAATATTTTTTTATAGAGGTGATTATATTTGATTTCTCTTATCTAAACTATTTCAATTTAATAAATTTTTATTGTGCATTGGGGACACTAATAATTACTATTTTATATTTTGTATTGGGCAACAGTATTCAAAAAACTTTAGGTGAGAAAAGCTCAAAACTACCCCGAATTAAGAAATTTTTGTTGAAAAAATTAAAATGTTTTAATTTTTAAAGTAAAAATAAGATTAATTTAGTTATTGAAAAGGTCGAACCTTATTTAACCTTTAGATGTTTTTCTTCCCACCATTAATACTTTAAATTAATTTTTCTTTCAATCAACACTTTTTATAATTAAAAAATAATAAACAACTTAAAAGTTAACAAAGATATCACATGTAAGTCACATGTCCATTAAAATTTGTTAAGCACAACTCAATTTTGCTTATGTGGTTATTAGGTAGATAAAATGCAATGACTTGGTAAAATTTTTAATGACATGGCATGATGTGGCATCCACATCATAAAAAAAAAAAATGTCAACTTTGCTTCGTTTGACTCCAGTCCATCTTTCTCCCCCAAATGAAGAAATGGATATCTAGTTTGCAGAGGAATGGGCTTTGTAATTTGGATCACTTCCATTCAGCTATAACCCACCATTTTAATTCTTCTCATCAATGGTTGACCTACATCCTACTTCACTCTCGATCTTACCAGCCTTTGTAAATCTCCCTAGAAGGCTTCCTTTTCCCTTATTCAATATGCTTGGGTTCTTCGATTTTGGATGATTATATTTTTTTTTCTTCTATTTGATCATGAATTTTCAAAAATTGAATCAAATCATGAATTTTATTTGGGGGTGAAAGTGCGAGAAATGGTGAAGAGGATGGCTTTCTTACCGAAGTTGAGAGTGGAAATTGTGGTAGTTTGGAGCTCGCCAACAGAGTCTAAGTAGGAGAAGGTTGCGTTTGGAAGCTTGTTTTTGACGGATAATATAGCTGAAATGGGGGTGGTTCTGGTGGAGAAGAAAAGAGAAATGGGTCTTGAGTAGTGGCGACGACGGTAGAGCTTAAAGGGAACAGAGGCGAGCGAGAACCTAGAAGCAGGGGATTTGGGAGCGATTTTGGTGGTGGTGTTGGTGGCAATTGAGAGGGAAATAAAGATAGGTGAGAGGAGTCTTTAAATTGTGAGTGAATCTTCCATTGTCGAAAAGAGTGAAGTTGAGTGATTGTGGAAATGTGAGTGAAGATACTCTCTAGTGGTGTAAAGTGTTGGAGACCCATGGCAATTTGTGGGTCTTTTGTGTAAGGGCAGCTATACCAGAAAACACGCAAGGCAAAGATCAGAGATCTGAGGTCACCGCACCTCGACTGCGGGACT